ACCAAGGCTGATCATCTGAGCCAGTCCTGCATGAACACTCTTACCCCTTTATTCCTGTGTCGTATCTGAAGTGAGGCACCGTCTCTGCCCTTAAAAGATCTGCCTGGTGCTTAGAAATACCACATGTGGAACAAAGCAGGAGGGTTCACTCCAGTACCATGGGTCAGTTCCACAGCCCAGGCCCACAACCCTGTCCAGTCTCAGGCAGATCTCTCTCTCTCCCATATGCTCCTATTCCAGATCTGCTTAGCTAAAAGCCTCCAATTTTAGCAAAAATACTGAGACTTAGGTACAGACTTGCCATCAAATTTACCTAGCTCCTGCCTTATGTTCCCTCACTCTGGTTTCCTTTAGTAATCTAAGGCAAGTTCAGATGTCCTTTCTTTGATGCAAGCCTGTTTCTAAGTACCTCTTTTCCAGGCTCCACAAAACCCCACTCTTACTTTACGACCAAGCTAACTATACCTATTATCCCTCTGTCTCCCTAGGCCTGTAAAGTACTTGAGAACCAGGATCCTATCCATCTTTTATACTGAACAAACCCTCTTAGCTCCCCATACTCTTACCAAGAATTTCCACCCCCACCCACCAAAAAAAGGATATGGTTTCCCAACCTTCTTTTAAGATTAAAGGAAACAGGCATACCTAGAAAACAGGGGGAGAAGTGAAATGCAATTTGAGAGCTGTACTAATTCCATATAAAATAATTCTACGAACCACAGAAACCAGTTTTCCATACCATTTAAATACTGAACTAAAGAATCAAACACTGTTAAAAGACACAATCTTTAACAGCAAAACAAAACATGGGCTGTTCAATGCATGTTTATTACAATGATTTCAAACATTCCTTGCAGTTATTATTATTATTATTATTATTATTATTATTATAACACTCTTTATCACATCCTTTCATGCAGCCTTTCTCTTGTTATTCTCAAGAGGGCAAATACAAACTATTCTTCATGTGTTTAAATTTAGGTTTCTGAGTGTGGTTGGTTTTGTTCAGTAGTAGTTTACAAAACTTCTCTCATGTTTTTATGCTAAAGAAGTATTGACAATGTTAGCCAGGCTCAGGAGCTGCTAAATGCCCACTCAGAGACTGTAGATATTCCATAAAATATTATCCCTTGTAGGTCCTAGCACAGTGATAGATTCCCAGCTCTAAAACTTATAAATGATGAGGAGGTTTTAAAACTGCATGTTTACAAAACACTGGATTCTGTCCATTGGATTTTAATAACTAATGTTACACAGATCTGAAGTTAATGTTCCCTTGAAGCAGTACCAATGAGTAACTGGTTTTCAAACACAAGCAGTAAATTGATAAGCCCAGCAAACCAAAGTCCATCAACCCCATCTTTGCAGTTAATGGTTATGCTATTTCACTATTAAACACAGAAGGCTAGTGTAGGATGTTTTCATGTCAATTGTTCATGTCAATGGCCCCAAATATTATGCTGCTTTTACTCTTAATTATAAATAAGAAAAGAAAGGGGTCAATGAAAACAATTGAACTCAGTTTTATTTTAGAGCTGTCAGATATGTGACTTTGGGATCCAGATGGTCTCTCAGCTCACCCTACTTCTCAGAGGCTTAAACACTTGCCAGGACACCATAGGGAAGAAACCACAGGGCAGGTACAAAATAAAGAATTAGCTCAGGGCCAATATGCAGTTGACAAAAACCTAGTTTGACACATTTCCAGAACTATGAGATTGACTGTGCATAAGTGCTTCTTTAAAAATGGCGGGGAGGGGGAAGGGCAGAGGTAGTTCAAGTAGTAGAGTGACTGCCTAGCAAGTACGAGGTTCTGAGATCAATCCCCAGTACTGCACCACACACACACACACATATGGTGTTGAGGGGAAAGTGTCTACAACAGCCTTCTACAAGCTACAACTCTGGAAAAGCAATATAACCTCACTCTGAACCACCTTTTGGCTTCCTCACTTACAAAATGCCAGTAGCATTTACCCCGCCTCATCTATCTCAGCAGAAATCCCACAGAAGCTGGTTTAATAGACAGATGCTACAATCTGTAAGGTGTCAATTTAATGAGAGGCATAATTTGAAACTGGTAATACAGACATGGCTGGGGCTAAAATAAACCAAAATAGTCCTGTTAATGGCATAATCTAAAAATGCCAGCCCCACATAAATATTTCCAGAAAGCCCTCTCCCACTGGCCCACACAATGAGAGAGAAATATCTCCTACATGTTCTACTTGCTACCTGTCCTTCCCAGACATCACTCTAAGCACTAGAAGTCACTCTTGGCCTCATCCTTGATCCCCCACCTTTATGACATGTGAACAAAACTTGACCTTGCCTGTGAACAACATCTTCCCAAACATATTTAATATTTCAAACATATACATATTTAGAATACCATGTATTCATTATCTAGCTTCACCTTTAAATATTTTGCTCATCTGTATCCATCCTACTTTATACTCTCAAGTACTTTTAAAACAAACCTAAAGCCAAGCAGCAGCCTGAGTCTTCAGAGACCCTGTCTTGAAAAAACAAAATAAATTTTAAAATTCAGATTTCATGTCTTTATGTTACTTTTTTGAAATAGGGTATGTAGCTCAGGCTGACTTTGAACTCAGGATCCTCCAGCCTCAGCCTCCAAAGTGCTAAAAGTCCAGGGATGCAACACTTCTTCACCCAGCTTTCATATGCACATTTGTTAGTTTTAATAGTGAAAATGAAGCAAAGTTTATTAGGAAAAGAATATACTTTCAACAGACTTAAAGCAGGTTGTCCTTAGAGTAAGAATGAGGGCAACCTTCAGTATGCATCTTTAAATAAGATAAAATAATTACATAGCTATTATGTCATCATTACGTATAGTAAGACACTGTTGTATCTAATAACCCATCTTCAAAACTAACAATAGTTTTATTAAATAACAGTATCTTTCAATTAGAATCTGGTAGAGTGGCTTAAATGCAAGTGCATCTGTCTAGCAAGGTTGAGGCTCTGAGTTCAAACCCCACTACCAACAAAAAAGAAAAAAAGAATGTCCTGGCTTTGGACTAGGTGTGGCTCAAGCAATAGAGTACCTGCTTTGCAAAGTCAAAGTCCTAAGTTCAAACCCAGTACCATCAAAAAAATGAAACTATCCTTTAAAAAAATAGAAATATACATAAAAATTTGAAATTATCCCACAGATTCATATCTAGAATATATAAAGAAGTATAAATCAATTAAGAAAAGCATGATGAAAAAGGAAACTATACAAGAGGCTTGAACAGGCACTTTGCTAAAGAGGAACTATTAACAGCCAATGAACAGAAGAACAAAATATCATAACACAATTGGAAAACACAAGATACTACTACTCCCACCCAAAAGAATGATTAAAATCAAAAGACAGAAAATACTAGCCGGGCACTAGTGGCTCACGCCTGTACATAGTTCCATGGTATAATGGTTAGTACTCTGAACTCTGAAAATACCAAGTGTTAAGGAGGGTATGGAGCAATGGAAACTCACAAACATTGCTACCAGAAGGCATAAATAACCAGGAAAAAAGTTTTCTTCTGAAGCCAACCATGTGTCTATCCTATGACCACTCTTATCTAGTGGTCAATAGAAAGGTATGCTTCCGTGACTTGGGAAACACGTACGGGACATCCTCCCGTTGAAAGAAAGGCTATTGGGCCAAGCACTAGTTGCTCATGCCTGCAATCCTAGCTACTCAGGAGCATTATTGGAAAAATTAGGGGAATCTGAATATGGCCCGTATATTAGGTGATAAATATCAATGTTGAATTAACTTGTAACTAAGACACATGCTGATACACTTACAGATGAACAGTCATGATGCCTGAAATTTAATTTCAAATGTTACAGCAGTGAGAAGAGATAGAAACAGAAACTGAGACAAAGAGAAAGACAAGGAAACATAAAGCAAAGTGGCAGAACATCAACATTTAGTAAATCTAGGTGAAGGGTATTCAGGTGACTATTGCACTATTTCTACCTTTTGGTAGGTTAAAAAATACTTTAAAATAAAACAATGGGATGGGGATAGAAGCTTTCAAAAAGGAAAGAATAATATACATGGTTTAAAAAATCAGGAGGAGGTCAGGTACAGTAGCTAAACTATAATCCTAGTTACTCAGGAGGCAGAGATCAGGAGGAATGTGGTTTGAAGCCAAGCAGGCAAAAACGTCCTCAAGACCCCATCTCAACCAATGGCTGGGTATGGTGTCAACCCAGTTACATGGTTAAGCATAAACAGGATTGAAGTCCAAGCCAACCCAGGCATAAAGCAAGACCCTAATATCAAAAATAACTGAAACCAAAATGGGCTAAGGGTGTGGTTCAAGTGGTGGAGTGCCTGCCTAGCAAGCACAAGGCCCCAGACCAAAAGAACTAAAGAGACTGGAATGGCATGTTTCTCTATTTTTTCCCTTTTTTTTTTTTTACTTTTTTTATTATATTAGTGTTGTGCTATACACTGTGACACTTAGTTCTTACAATACATCATAGTTGAATTCACCCCCTCCATCATTCTCCTTGCATGTATTTCTTTAAAAAGGAAAAAAAAAATCTTATAATTTGTGAAAAAAAAAGAGAATATAAGAAGACAGATGTAATATGGAGAATCCCAGCAGTCAAGAAACAGGCAAAAGGATCTTGAGTTTGAAACTGGTCTAGGCTGTCTGTATAGCAAGTTTCAGACCAGCCTAGAGGACATAGTAAGAACCTGTCTCAATAAAACTGAAAAGGCAGGGAGGAATGAGAAGAGAGAGAAGGGAATGGAGGATATACACCTATTCAAATGTAACCTTCAGATAACTAGGGAGAAAGTACTGAAAGAATACATCTGAAATACTTCTTTTGCTTTAAGGTGGTAATATATGGAGAGAATTTCCTGCTTTCCAATCATCTCTATGATGTTATTGCGCTTAAATTTTTTAATATACTGTGCAGATCAGCCAGATAAATACACACTACGTCACTGTTGCACAATCTCAGTTATTTGTACAATTAGCTGCCTTCAATTTGAAAAATACAATTACAAAAATCCTACTGATAACTATTTCATCCTACACTTGGAGGAACTATAGATTGCCCAAAAGCACAACAAATGAATCTTTCTTAGTTGTATATATAACGGTAAGAAAAACATCAACCATTATAAATATACCTCATCATATATGCTGCCATTAATATCTGCACCATAGATAGGTGCCACAAAAGTTAAGTTTTTCCAGTATTTGCGCTCCAAATCTTCATAATCCAAGTATCTTGGAGTACAATATCTGTAAAAGATAAATGAAAAGAAAACACAAAATAGTAAGGCAATTTTAAGATTTTTTTTTAGCCATCTAACTTATATCACTTTCTAAACAAAATTTTTTCAAAAGAAAAATACTACAGACACGCATACTGTCAAATCAATAACATATAAATGTATTCATCATAATTTAGTAACTCTATATGATCACATATAAGGAAGGAAGGAAAGTATTTTCAGAAAATTATCAATAATAGAAGCAGAAAATTAGTGGATTTTTTCCTATTTTTAAAATATTTTTTGTGGTGCTGAGAATTGAATCCAGGGCCTCACACATGCTAGGCAAGCACTCTAACACTGAGCCACACCTCAAGCCCCAGAAAAAAAGTTTTCTATTTGTTTGTTTTTGTGGTACTGGGGTTTGAACTCAGGGCCTCACACTTGCTAGGCAGGCACTCTACCACTTGAGCCACACTCCATCAGCCCAGAAAAAAAGTTTTAAAAGTCATTATTTTACCTTTCAAATTATTTTCTAACATCTTTAACCAATTACAGAAAGACATTTTATGATTTATATGTAGAACATAACGCCTATGAAAAAACTAAAAAAAGGACAACCTTACTAAAAATCCAAGAAAGTAAAACTAAAATAAGATACTTTGCAATTATTAGATTGGCAATGCTTAATGTATTAACAATGGGAAAAATGAGACTTCTTATATACTTGGAGTGGGAGAAGAGACTGTTGCATACTTTCCAGAATTTAATGTTTCAGCACATACCAAAAGTCAAAAAATATATAACCTTGACCTTAAAATCTAGCCCCAGAAATTCACCTGAACAACATGGAGGCATGTACAATGACAGGAATCTTGGGAGATTTGCTGCAGCATAAACTGAAAACACAAGCTTTTCTCCAGCAACAAATGATTTGTTTAAAAATACTGAGCATGAACTAAGGTAGGTCTTTCTATGTATTGACATTAAAATCTTTCTACATTGAATAAAATAGTTTACAGATTATTGTGTATACTAAAGTAAAAAAATTCAAATTGTAAATTAAATAGCAAAAAGTTATTTCATAAGTAGGAATTAAACAAAACCTCTTAACCTATCTGTATTATTTGAAGGTTCAACAGTGATTATTTTGGGTGGAGGTATACTGGGGCTTTGAACTGAGGGCCTTGTTCTTACTAGCAGGTATTCTCCCACTTAAGCCACACCTCCAGCCATTTTTGCTCTGGTTATTTTTGAGAGAGTGTCTCGCATTTATACCAGGGCCAGCCTGGACTGAGACCCTATTTACACTCCCAGGAAGCAAGCAGGATAGGCACATGCCACCTAGCCCATCTTTTATTGGATGAGATGGGGTTCTCACAAAATTTTTGCCTAACTTAGCCTTAAACAGTGATCCTCCTAAATTCTGCCTCCCAAGTAGCTAAGGATATAGGCATGAGCCACCACACACCTGGCAACAATGATCTTATCACAAAAACATAACAATGTTTCTTCATGAAGAAAATAAGCAAAGAGGGCCAGGCATGGTAGGGAACAACGGTCATCCCAGCTACACTGCAGGGGCAGGTAGGGGGACTGCAGACTGAAGCGGGCCCCTGGTAAAAATGCAGCTCTATGCAAAAAGTAACAAAAGCATCAAGGGGTTGAGGGTGTGGCAGAGTACCTGCCTACCAAGCACAAGGCTGAGTTCAAATCAGAGTACTTAAAAAAAGCAAGAAAATAAGGAAAGAGCAGGTGCTGGTGGCTCACACCTGTTATGCTATGTATGCTAGCTACTCACGGAAGCAGAGGATCAAGGTTCAAAGCCACCCCTGTGACAAATAGTTCACAAGATCCAATTTGATGGGAGGGGAAAAAAAAGTCACAAAAAAAAAGGCTGGTGAAGTGACTCAAGTGGTAACACCACCTGCCTAGCAAGTGTGATACCCTGAGTTCAAATCCCAGAGCTGCCAAAAAAAACAAAAAAAAGAAAGGAAATAAGCAAAGAAACAAATTGAGAAAATAACAAAACAAAGTTTTAAAAGGGGGGGTGGGGGCTGTGTTTAGCAAAAGCAGTAATCCCTGTAAAGCATACTGGACATTTTAGATTGACTAGAACATTCACTAGACTGAGGGCAAACTAGTTATCAATAAACAAGAATACCAAAGAACTTAATCCAATGACTGTATTTGAAAAACAGAACAATTTGCTGCTCATTGTGCAGCCAAAAATAAAAAGAGTGGGCATGAAAGCACCATTAACATGGCATCATTCTACCACTTCTATTAGCAGTTCCCAGTAGTAGCAAGAATGGCAGGCACAAACAAACTAACCAGATGGCAGCATCAGGCACTAAAAACAGGTTCATATCACTACTACTCAGCGCAAAGACCACAGGAGAACAAAAAGGAGAGAAGAATGTACTTTAAACAAAACACTGTTTATTAGGACTTCTAGAGAAACTTCTTCAATTTTGAAAACTGAAACCCTAAGCTGCCTTACATTATATAAGAAGACCTTATCAAATCTATCATTGTATACCCAATCAGGATGAATTTTTGAAAACTCCTAACTAAAAAAGAAAGCTAGAATTTGGCACTGTGTATTGAGGTTACATTGTGAAAACCTTGAATATTTGAAACAAATATTCAAACTGGAAAGTGACTAATTCCCTTAGCTGGTACTGGATTCTAATGAATCCTGCCACAGATTCCATCCCTAATGGACTGTCAAATAACTACAGCTACTCACAAATCCTGTATCAATTTAATCAAAACTGATTCAACCACACTTCTCATCCAGAACCTTTTTCACTCACTGTAGCACAGCTCTTAGGAGGTGGGTCCAAAACCAAGCTGCCTGGGTCTGAATCCAGAGTTGCCCTATTAAAAGCTACATAACAGGAGGATTCCAAGATGGTGACTAGAGTGAGGAAGCAGAAAGTGTGCTTCCTAAAGTAAAATCTTGGAGAGATGCTGGAGATACACCTTGCAGGAAAAACCACCAAGAAGAGGCAAAACTTTGACTCCTCCACACCCCCAGCCACGCATAGCATCCCCACTCCATATTAAACGGAGAAACCAGGGGGGCTCCCACACCACCAGACACCAGCTCCCAGACCGCATGGGAGAATGCAGAACACCAGGTGAGCTAAGCGGCATGTGGTACTCCCACAAACAACCCTGGGCCATATCAGCATAGCCCCCTGGACAGACCGACCCCCACCCAGGGGAAAAAAGAGAAACTGAAAAATAAACAACAACAAAAAAGACATGTAGCAAAGAGGGCGGAGTGCCCTGAGCACTGAAGAGTGGGGGAGGGCAATCCCTCACTGAACTGTACATAAGCAAGCTGGCCAGAGAAGGCAGGAGTGGCACCCGCCCAGTAACCAGGAGCGGGAAAGTTTATAAAAGCAGCGCTGGGAGGAAAACTCCACAGGAGAGGAGAGAAGGGCCACTTCCCACGTGAAATGTAAATAAACACGCCAGCTGGAGAAGGCGGGTGTAGTGCCACCTCCCCCAGTGTGCTTGGAAAGGGGAAAACTTCTAACAGTGGTGGTCAGGCCCAGGAGAACGCTAAATAAACAAAGCCTGAGGGGCCAGGTGAGTGCTAAGCTCACTCCTGAGATCTGCATAAATAAAGCCTCCAGCAACAGCAGGCTGACAGCAGTGGGCAGATGAGCCACAGCCTCAGATAGACATTCACAAACCTGTCACCAGATTCTTTTTTTTTTTTTTCGCTCTTCCTTTGATGACACAACAACTGAACTACACCTGCATGCTGAAAAACTTACTGAAACTGTATTGCATTTGAACTTGGGACACTTTGTGGTGTTTTTTTTTTCCTTGTTCTTTTGTTGTTGTTGTTGTTGTTTTCCCCTTTGATGAGACAATGACAGAACTACTTCTGAGACACCATCTCCAGGATTGGAGGCTGAGGGACTAACACCAAATTAAGACTGAAATTTTATTGCATTTGAACTTGGAGATTTTTTTTTTCAATCCTCTCTCTGTCTCTCTAATGCCTGTTTAGCTTACTATTGATGAGTACACTATCTCTCCCTGTTTATACCTTTGAAACTTTTTCTGTTTGTCTGTTTTGGGTTTTTTTTACTTGTCTCTTTGTTTTTCCCTTTTTCTTTACCTTCTTGGCTTTCCCTATACTCTCACCCTTCCATTCTAAATATCACCATTGTTATTATTACAAGCTAGAAAATACTTAATTGCACACAGTACAGGGACAATAACAACATCAAGTGCAACGATGGGAAGACAGAAAAAACAGGGAAACCAGTTTCCCCACCACAAAAAATTAGTAGAGGAACCAGAGGGAAATGAAGAAAACAGATACTCAGATCCAGACTCCAACAGAACAAAGATAAACCATGCCAAAGAACCCAATGAAGCCCACAAAAATAATCTGAAGAGAAATACTAAAAGTAATCAATGATAATTTTATTTTATAGAGATGATACGGATATGGTCAACTAAAATGTACAGGATACACTCAAGAAATTCCAACACAACAAAAATAGAGAATCTGAGAAAGCACAAGAAGATATAAAAGAAACCATAGAAGCACTATATAAACACCAAAGTGAAACAAAAAATGGATTAATAAAGCAATAAATGAACTCAGGATGAAAACAGACAACATTAAAGAGAAACCACCAAGGATGTGGAAAACCTCAGAAAAAAGAAAATGAAAAACAAAATGGAAGGCCAATCCAGCAGAAAAGAACAAACAGAAGACAGAATCTCAGAACTCGAAGATGAAATGGTAATTAAAGGAAAAACTGAAGAACTATTAGTTAAACAACTCAAGACCTGTGAAAAGAAAATGCAAGAACTCACTGACTCCATCAAAAGACCAAACCTGAGAATCATGGGCATCAAAGAAGGAGAAGAGGTGCAAGGAAAGGGAATGCGTAATATATTCAACAAAATAACAGAAAATTTAACAAATCTAGAGAAATCTATTCCCATACAGATGCAAGAGGCCTCCAGAACACCAAACAGACCAGACCA